TACCCCGATGTCGCATCCGAGTTCCCCAGGGATCTCGAGCTTCTGCTCACCCACCATGAGGTACTTGAGTATGATCTGAGGGACAAGATCGTCGGCGCATACTGCTTGCTCAAGCGGAAGGAAGTCATAGACTCGGTCAAACTCCTCAACACACTGTTCCCGCTCCTTGTGGCGACGAACAGCAAGAGTCTGCGACAATTGCTCTATACCAAGATTATCTCAGATCTACGTTCGTCCAACGCGAAGACTGTGAACCACAAGCTCAACAAGTCTATGCAAACGGCACTTTACAAGTACGCAGTATCCTCTCAATGCTTGGCGTTCCCAACTAACCGTCCCAAGTCTCTTAGAATCCGACACCTCCTCGCCGAAGGGTCTCTGGGCCGTGAAGATCACCAGAGAGTTGTGGAAACGACAGATATGGACAGATGCGCGCGCCGTAGAGGTCATGCGACTGGCAGCACTGAGCGACAACGAAAAGACCATCTCGGGCGGCCTCAGGTTCTTCCTCGGTGGTGATCAGGAGCGAGAAGCCGCCGCAGAGGAAAGCAGCGATGACGACAACGATGTGGACATTGGAAAGCTGAAGCACGCGGCCGGAATCAACAAGAAGAGCAAGAAGAAGGCGCGCGACATCAAGTCCGCAGCTGTGTCTCTCAAGAAGAAGGCAAAGAAGAAGAATGCACCCCACCCCCTCAACTTCAGTGCGCTACACCTTCTCCACGATCCTCAAGGCTTCGCCGAAACCGTCTTCTCAAAGCACATCCAGAACACCAAGAACAAGCTTGCTCTCGAGACAAAGCTACTGGCACTGCAGCTTGTCACTCGCCTCGTTGGATTACATCAGCTCACAGTCCTTCCGCTATACTCATACTTCTTGAAGCACCTCACTCCTCGGCAAGCCTCAGTCACCACTTACTTGGCGTGCTTAGCGCAAGCGACACATTCATATGTACCGCCAGACGTACTTGAGCCACTTGTGCAGAAGATCGCGAACGAGTTCGTGTCAGAAGCCTCAGCCTCTGAGGTCGCGGCAGCAGGTCTGAATTCCATTCGTGAGATCTGCGCTCGTCAGCCATTGGCCATGACAGATACTCTGCTTCAAGACTTGGTCATGGTAAGTTGGCTCCTTGAAATCCGATGCCATACTCTATACTAACGCTTATTAGTACCGCAAATCAAAAGACAAGGGCACAATGATGGCCGCCAAAGGTCTGCTCTCCCTCTACCGCGAGGTCGGCGCCGACCTCCTCAAGAAACGCGATCGTGGCAAGGACGCGACAATGGGTATCCGCGCTGGTACTATCAAAGAACGTCGCTATGGTGAAGAAGCTATTGGAGAGGTTGAGGGCATCGAGTTGCTCGAGAAATGGAAGGAAGAGGAGCGCAGGAAGAAGCTCATAGAGGCTGGTCTGGATCCCGACGCCGACAACGGCGACGTCGACCTCGACGACGAAGACGACTGGAAGAAGTGGGACGTGGAGAGCGAGGGCGACAGCGACGACTCAGGCGGCTGGATCAACGTCGAAAGCGACGGCGAAGACATCCAAATCAGCGACTCTGAAGACGAAAAGGACAAGAAGGAACGCCCCGCAAAGAAAGCCAAGCTCGACAGCGCCACCCCCGGCCCATCAACAGACGACAAAGAAAACTCCAAGAGCGCCGAACCAGAAACCAAGTCCCTCTCCAAACTCCTCACAACCACCATCCTCACCCCCGCCGACCTAAAACAACTCCAAGCCCTCCGCGCCTCCAGCACAATAACCTCCACCCTCGCCGGCTCCTCCAAGCGCGCCCAGCTCCTCGCCGCCCGCCACGCCGACGAAGCCATCACCGCCGAGACCATCGAGCTCGCCGCCAAAATCGGCAAGAAGAACACCAAGGAAGAGAAGATTGCTCTTGCCAGGGCCGACCGCGAGACGAACCACACGTCTAAAGCGGCGAAGCACCAGGCCAAGAAGGTGGAAGAGGGCAAGAGTACGACGAACAAGGAGAAGGCGCGTAAGAAGAATTTCCTCATGACGCTGGGTAAGGCGAGGTTTAAGAATAAGCGCAGTTTGGGGGATGTTAAGAGGACGATGCAGGGGCATGTGGAGAGGAAGAAGAGGGGTGGTAAGAGGGGGAATAAGGGAAATTAAGTGGGGTTGTTGAGGTGTGCGTAGATGAGAGTCTCAGTGGGCTAAGCATTGTTATGTGTATCAGGTGGACCGAAAATGGCATCGTCTTTCATGGCAGACGAATGGAAAAAAGGAAAAGTAACTTGATACCCAGATAGTATATGGATCATGAAACATGCAACATGAGTTGTCCCGTTCCTAAGTAGTCCTAGGATCTGGCGTGTTGTCTGAAATCGCACCTTGAACGCCCAGCCCGCCTTCTTTTCGCCACTTGCCCATGGTAACCATACAAGGGAATGCTGTCCCCCATACATCGAACATACATGTACATTCTGTTCAGATGTTCCTCAACTCCACAGTAGACACCCGCTCTCTGCGCACCTCTCACACGCATGCTGCCCAGCCCACTCACTCATCCACAGTCTGTGTCGGGACATTTTCTGCTTCTCTTTCTCCACCATCTGCGGCAGCCCGTCGTTCAAAGCGAAATACCGGTCTTCGGGTACTGAAATTACCCGAGCTTTCACTGTGGAAGCTGCTTGAAGCATCGCCTTTACCGGAGACTTGGAGTTTGCCGTGCTCGGAGCTGGGTACAGATCGTAGAGGGGTGATGTGCTTGCTGTGGGAAGAAGTATGCTTGCTGTTGTCGTGTCGAGACGAAGCGTCATCCTTGGTAGTTGGTGTGACTGGAAAGCTGACGGAGCGGGGAGATAGTTTTGTGGGAGTTCTCTGGACTTTGGATGGAGTAAACGGGTGACTCGTGTAGCTTATAGTCGCGGGGATGTCCTTGGCCCCCGTCGACAACTGTTCAGATGTCTGTGGTGCTCCGCGGAGAATAGGTGTGATGGGAATACCCTTGTGCCTCGTTGACGTTGCTCCCGGGTCCGAGATCGACTGTGGTGGGGTTTCGACGACAGCGTTGTCTGCGCTCGCTTTTCCCTGGATGGGATGACGAGACGTCGTTGCACTCGGAAGTATGTTCGTGGGATCAGCTATCCTTCCATTAGAGGTGCTCGCCACCGGCGACGATTGAGGTACAGCCGCGAACGCGTCCGCAACACCATGTCCTGTCCCATCTTGCCAGATGTCGGCATCAGCAGAAAGAGCCTGACGCACTGTATGGTCCTTCTCATCCTGAACCTTCATAGCGGGAGTGATGATAGGCTGTGAGTGGGTCGCCAGACTGACAGTACCGTCACCGTTATTCTTCGTTCTCTTGCGCGAGCTCTGTGATTCAACCTCCATCCAAGCACTCATATATTGATTCTGGATCTGAACCATCATCGATATATCGTTCTGTAAACCCTTCTTGTCTGTAGAGTGAGGATAGACTTGTAGCAAGGATGTGATAAGTGAGGTGTGCTCGATGAGGTGACTGACGAGGAGGTTGGGATCTGGGTCTCGATGTACCGTTGGCGTGTGATTCCTATGTTGGTCAACGTTGCGTGCCCTGGATACAGGCGTGGCATTCGATTGAGTAGTTGGACGGCTCGATTGCGGTCGAGCATGCCGCTGGTGATCTCTGACTTCATCATCGTTGGTTACAGCAAGGTCAGCATCGGCGAGCTTCCTCTTCTGTGGCGAAGGTCGTGAGTACTCTTGGATGTGATGGACAGCTCTCCTACGGAGCGAGTCCTCGTTCTGAGAGGGAACCATTGGCAAGACGTATGTGTTAGAAGGAACTTGGACATGATAGTGTTGCGCATATGATTGTTGGTGTTGTGGCGCGTGTTGCGCAAGAACCGGCGCGGAGAGTGGGTATTGTACTTCGAAAGGTACGTTGAGCGTGTGTCGGCCCCACGCTGCGTTTGAACTGATGTCAGGCGCGGCAGTGATTTTCGCGCTCATCATGCGATAGATATCATGGCTCTGGTGCCCGGTGAATGTGCTACCGTTCGCAGGCATGGCTGCTAGTGCTGGTCTGGAGACACCGTAACTGTATAGTTCCCTATATCCGTTGCCGATGAACTGATGCGGTTCCAACAGCTTTTTGTGTTTCTGTCTGCGCTTCGGGGCTCGCGTTGCTCGCCTTGGAGGTGATGGATCCTCGTTGACGATGATGGGGTTGTGGCTGCTGCCGCTCATGTTCGCGAAAGGCCTAGGTGCGAGTCTTCGCAGGGCGGAGGAGACAGTTCGATCGGTGGGATCAGTTGAGCCTTGTCGTTTTTTCGGCGTCGTGATGGTGAGTACCACTGGAGATTCGCCGGTACTCGGGGATGTGAGACTGAGATCATGCTCACTAATGTTGCCGAAGAGCGCCATTCTGGGAGGAGTGTCTGGCACTCTTCGATCGTCCGGAGCTTTCACAACCTTCTTGACGCTGGGAACGATGATATGTATGGTGTCGCTCGCCTGTCGGAGCGGTCTGGGCCGTCCAATACCAGCCGTGGCCGGCTCTGCGTTTGCAGTGCCTCGCCGAGTGGACACCATGATGTTCAATGTTTGTCCTAGTTCGTCAGACCTTCACCGCTCAGTTAATTTCAAATTCTCCTCACCAGTTCCTAACTATCACGTCGCCGAAATGGTACAGCGCTGTGCCGGATTAGGGTGGTGAAGATGAGAACGTGATCACTGGCGACGCTCTTTTTGCGTCCGCGAGATGGAGCGAACCCGACGACGATAGCGGCGAAGGCGAGAATGAAGAGCGAAGTGATGAGTCGCAAACAAAGTTATGATGTTGCCTACATGTATGTAGAAGGTGCACTATGTGTGGGAAGGGACATCCACTGCTTGAGAGGAAGGCGCGACGCACCGCGATCAACAGCAAGAGCGAAATCTCAGCATAACACATCGTAAACGAATACAAGTAAAACAAACGACGAGCGAGAAAAGAAAGACAACGATACCTCATGCGCTCGCTGTTGATGCTTCGCGCGCCAGCTCTCATCCTGCGGTCAGAAACGCGCGAAGTTTAACCAGCTCTTCCACATCTTCCCCATCATTAACGACGCGATTGATAGCACCATCATCCCAAGCGATGCCATGCCAAAGCAGCACACCCATATCTCTCATCACTCTCACGTCGCCCATTCGAGCTTCCAGCTCCGGTACGGCGTCGATCAAGCGCGACCAAAAAAGCTCACGAAGTTGCGTCGCACCGTTGAGGTAGTTCCACGTGAGCGCAGATCCGGGGAGAGATGTTGTCATGTTTCCAAGGAGATGCTCGAGTCCGTATAGGCAGGTCCCGAAAGGTAAGTACTCCGCCTCCGCCCAGTCTACCAGGCCTGTGATCTCCCAGGTGTTCTGGTCAACCAGGATATTGGATGGGATGAGATCCCCGTGATTGAGTACTACTGGGTAGTCTTCCATCCGCTGTATCGCGCGCATTGTCTCTCGCGCTCTTTCGCGTAGGTACGTATCCGGTAGCTCACTAGCCAGCCTCCCAAGTCTAGAGATCATCGTTGAGCCGACTTTGCCGCGGCACTGCGCGAGCATCGATGGACGCTCATCCATGGGTGAATCTGCCCGTACCGTTCGGGTGATATCATGTACTTCCTGTGGTGAGTGCCAGCTTTGTGCAATAAGATCCGCGAAACTTGTGATGAGGCCCTCTAGTCGCTTTCCTGCACTGTCATCGAGTGAATGTCCATGCTGCTGTAATCGGCTCAGCGGCGTGCCGTCAACCTTTCTCATCTCGTATGCGCATATGCCTCTGGGTAGTGATAAATCGAGATCCTCGATGGTGGGGGCTAGTGCTGGATGCGCTGTGCTAGCAGCGCGTACAATGTTGTGGTCGAGGGCGTGCTGCGGCGGCCGAAGCTGGACGATGAGAGCAGGCTCATCTTCACAATCCACCTCTGCGGTAGCCTGATGCCGGGTGTTTTCCATCGCAAAAGCGACTTTTGGTGGCGTGACCAGAAGGGTGTAGCTACAATAACCCTGTTCGCTATACTCATCAACTTCATAGTCTCCATAGCGATCTCGCACAGCTTTCAGGCAAATATCCTTATCCTCCAAATGCAATCCGAAGCGATTCCAGAAGTTTGGGGACGTCATCGATGGTGCAACCTGAGCGTGTTTGGGATGAAGCCCAAGGACTCGAGCCCCGTCGCGAGTTTGAGGCGACGCGAATCATCCCGTCTCGCATCATCGGTGACATTCTGCCGTAAACCCTGTCGCGACAAACAAGAGAGCTAGAAGTCAAATGGTGTGTCGCACACAGTCGTGGTTCGTTGAGAGTTTGCACGTGGAAGTTGGCGTGGGAGGAAGCAACGAGGGAAGCGGGGATGTGGGGTGAACAGTCGCTCCCACGTAAGCGGACGAGGCGTCGTCGCAATCTTCTCCACTTTCCACCCATCACACCAGCCTAGTCGGAAGGTCAAACGCTAATCGACCATGGCGGAAGAGCCGACAGTGTCTCTACAGTCTGACAGGCTCCAGCCTGGCCATGACATCTTTTGCACACCCAATAACGACTCGTTCCATGCGAGTAGCCTATACTCAGAACTGGATGTCGCTCAGCAGGAGATTCGCCTTATCAAACTCTGGCCTGGTAGCGGAGACGATGTCATCGAGTGCACGCTGCTTCCGGGTGCCCCATTGCTCGACCTGAAAGGACAATATACGGCCCCATCTTACTGCGCTGGCTCTGCAAAGATTACTGAATCAATCGTCCTCAACGGTACAACCTTCAACGTGTTCGCAAACCTGGCACATGCTCTGAGAGAGGTCCGTCAATTTTGGAGCACTACATACGGTGACAGAGAATGTATACTGTGGGTTGACCAGATCTCGATAAATCAGTACGACATCAACGAGAGATCAACACAGGTGCGGTTCATGCGCGAAATCTACCAGTATGCAGAACAAGTCCTCGTCTGTCTGTCGACTAAGAAATCCGATCCGAGTGGCATGCACTGGCTTGTTCGATTAGCTAAAGACATTGGTACCGGCGAACACGATAGATTGCCAGAACGTATAAGCTCAACAAATGTTGATTTCAATGCTTGGCAAGATGAATACTTGGCCAAAATGGCTAGACGCTGGCGCAGTTCTACCTTGGATTCTACCTTGAAGAGTTACATCAGTCTTAACTCGGAGAGCGAGGAGTTCCTGGAAGGATGCCGTGCTTCCTATGATGTCATTGGAGTACCCTGGTTTACTAGAGCCTGGGTCTTCCAGGAGTTCATTGCAGCGACCAAAGTGCATTTCATGTATAGCGGAGTACATGCATCCTGGGAGGCACTCCAGCCAGCATTGACAGGCGTTTGTGACGGGCGTAGTTACTTCGAGGCTGTGAAGCAACGCAGTGGCCAGTTAAAGATGAGCGCTACCATAGAAAGAGTGGCATTGGCAATCGAGCGCAAATCCGATTGGCGTGGGGAAATGGACTTGAAGAAACTATTAAGACACGCCCGGGCCTGCAATACTTCTGATCCTAGAGACAAAGTGTTTGCATACATTGGTCTGGCAAATCCGGCTTATGGGATTCTACCAAACTATTCTCACTCTATCGATGAAGTCCTTATCGATACGACCGTAAGAATAATAAAGACTGAGAATAGTCTGGAAATACTGGGGCATGTCATAGCTTCAGGACCACCTTTTGGCCGCGGTCTACCGTCGTGGGTAGTTGACTGGAGGCGTAAGCATCATCCTGCCATTGTCATTGAACATGTGCGATCGTACTATCCTTTGCTGGAGAAGGTTGAAACAAATGCTTCCTTTCACGAACATGATATCTTAAGTGGTCTTCCACGAGCGTTGCAAGTCGACGGAGTTTTGGTCAACAGACGAGACAGTCTCTTCAGTAAGCGGAACCCAACTCCATGTCATGAGGAGTGCTCTTACATGTCTTCAGAAATCGATGGGGATGAATCCAGTATGAATGGGGTTTATGACGAGGAATGGCTCCTCAAAGGTCTTGTGGTGCCACTAGTTTTGCGTAGTCAAGGGAACAATCGGTATATTTTGGTACCATTTCCAATACCCAGGGGTCCCATAATTCATGAGAATGAGGATGTAAACCGTGGGAACTGGCAAACCATATACATAATATGATGAAACCCACTGGTCTTACCTTTCACCTGGCATACATGTCGTACCTATCATCCTTTTTAGAGACATGCGTCGTGAGTTCATTGTGACTATCTGTCATGGATATTACACATGTTTCTTAAGCAGCTTAGTTTACACTATGCAAACATATATTCACATTAGTTTCACAGCCGCACAATAGCATCTGTTGAACAAACCTCCCGGTTCTACACAAAAGTTTACCAACCATGGATTGGAAATACTCGGGTCGAAGAAGAAACATCCAATAATCATCGATTCCAGCCGAAGGATTACGGATTCGAAAAGACAGATAACTCCAAGCTCCGTACAGCCTTCCATACGACGTGTCGACACATAAAACGAGACCAAGATGGAGACGTGCGATACCTGTACAAATCAAGGGACTTGTTCCCATACATGTGAGAGCTGCAGTGCGGAGAGTAATCAGTACACAGCCGCATCGCCTACAGCACTACGAGAGTCCATCGATGCTACGCCTCCAAACATCTCTACTTCCATGCAATCCCACTTTACACCTGCAGGTCCTTCCTCGGAGCACGAGCTGTTTATTCCCTCCCTAGAGGAGCGACAAGCCGGCGAGGATGTTATCATGGCAGACATGCTAACAGCAATGCAGCTAGATGGCATGGAGGTAAGCACTCCTTCCCCTGATCAGCAGTGGACGGCCATGGGCATAGAAGCTGATTCGGAAGCCAGATCTATCTCATCTGAGCTGGACGAACAACAAACCGAAAGCCTTCATGCTTCGGACAGGTCAGTTCATAGCGACTCCTTGACAGCGACAGGCTTCGCAGATGACGAGCGGACCGCGCAGCCCGAGGAGTACGCAGACGATTTCGACTCGCTCGAGGATTTTGATATTGACTTCAGCGGGCTTCTCCCATCGGATTTCCCTGATTTCCCCTTCGATGATCTGAACAACGCCGACGACGAAAAATGGGCAGAGATGCTAAAAGAAGTCGACGCATGGAATAAAACACACAACGGCGCAGCCGAAGAAGACACTCACACCACCACCGCTCCCGGCGAACCCTTCACATACGCCGTCGACCCCTTCACCCCAGAAATCTGCAAAGCCGACCTAATCCGCTGCCCCATCCCCATCCCTACACCAGAAACCGACATCCTCGCCCACTTCTCCACAGAATACGCGCGCTCAATCCGTCTCCTCAAAGTAAAATACCGGTGGTACCACACTTCCCCCTCAGACTGGCAAAAAGAAGTCACCACCCTAATCTCCGGCATCGACAACGCATCCAACAACCTAGAACCCTGGCTACCATTGCACAGATGGCTCGTACTATACCGTCGCCTCATGCAAGGTGCGACGGCGCGTGAGCGCTACAAGACTAAGAATTTCTTGCTGAAGAAGTTGGAGGCGATGGCGAAGATGCGGATGGAGGAGAGTAAGGCGGCGGTTGTGGAGTTACTGCAGGCGAAGGGGATGAAGATGGCGCATGGGGCGCTATGTGGGATGAAGCGTGCGGTTGATGAGGATTGTGAGAGGAGGGGGAGTTTGCTGCTGGGGACTATTCCCGAGTTTACGAATGAGCTTGTTGGGGGGTTTTCGGGGAGGTGGTCTTGGGTGGACTGATAGAGTTAGGTCAATATCCAGGTAGAGCATGGAAGTGAAGCTTCGAATGGATAGACGGATGCGAGAATGAGACTGTTACTGAAACTACCTCTGCAAATTGACCACATGCCGTAGTTTCAACCTTCGCTAGGTCCTCACCACTTCGGCATATCCATCCTCACAGTACCTCCCCTCACCTCCGGACCTCATCTCCAGAGGCTCGCAGTTATTAGACTACACCTCGTAATCGTGGTTGACGATCAAAAGCAACAAAGATAGCGCCCGGGTGCCGTACCAGCTTCACCACGGCCCATGACGTCACACCCCCAAACATCCACAGAAAGATCGCCCGTAACGAACACATAGATCTTGGTTCCATCGCGCACAGCTCCCACCGTTCCAAGAAACTTCCCGGCGCACTCTACCAGCAATCGCGCGATCATGATGAACTATTGTATACACCGATGTACTCTTGGCCTACGCAGTTCACTGCTGATCCCTTTCGTCTTATCTGCATCATTCCGTCGCGCATATTCCAACTTCGACCAAGCGCTCACTCGGATGATTTGCGCAATGCATGCTTTGCCAAGCTACAGCAACGCAAACTTCCGACGTCGAAGGAAGGGGGACTCAAAAAAAGTGCCAGGATGCTGATTGGCTGTGAAGACAACAATTCCATTCGTGCAGGATGCGGGTAAATCATCCTGCAAATTGAGAAACTCTGCATCCATGTCCTTAGCCAACAAGGACGATGTTGCAAGTAAATGAAAATAAAGACGACGAATACATGCGGATCTAGGATCAACGTGGGTGTTGGGCGAGATACCAATGCGATGCGCAGAGTTGCGCAGTTTTGCTGATCACTGATCGCCCAAAACCTTGCGAGGATCTTCCACTGTCAAGGCGCCTGATAGCAAACTTCGTGTCCAGCATCATGCTTACTGTCTGCAGACTTTCTCGCTTCCTGGTTCCCCATGTCTACCATAGCGTATCTCCACATTGGTTTCAACCGGTCAGACCCTTCTTTTCCAGACATGCACAACCATTCTCACATACACGCCATAACCCTCGCATCGAAAGTCCAGTCCAAGAAGACGTGGCACAACACCACCATCTCCACTCCAACACCCTCATGGATTTCAGACTACCGCTCTTAGCCCTACGAAAGCAAAACTTTCTACCGACATCGTAGGGCTGGACCAGCGCCACATTATCCCACAGCTGAAGAAACAATCGTGACAAGGCCATATCCATTCTATCCGCCCGAAGCTACACGTTAGCCTTCCCGCACCGCGCTAGTCGCCACGCTACATCTCTCCGACACCAGCGATTGCTGTGGCGCATCTAGATCCACTTGCTAGTAAATCGTGGAGAGCTGAAAAAAGTAAAATGCAGAATGCAGAATGGGCGGCAGGCGGCTAACGTGAATGTCTGCGCATGTCCAGTGTTTTCGGGTCAGTCATGCTTAGTCGGTGACAGCGATGGGCGCTGGTGGTGTTCGCTTATCTGGCTGAGGAGGCATACATGTTGAGATGATAGGCTGGCAGCATTGATGGGCTTCTACCTGGGCTTTGTTTGCTGACGCTGGGCTGAGACATGGGTGCGTTGGAGTGCGGAAACGGACATCGGGGTACGCCGTAAGACTGAGGTTTGAACCGAGTGCGTGAAGTCGTCGCCGGCTTGGATTTCGTTCGACAAGCACGGGCGGTCTGGTAGTCTCTGGTCTAGCCACGCGGCAGGTGAACGTCCGGCCCTTCTCACTGTTAGTGACCGCCCGGCAAGTTTGTCGATCTGAGATGGGGCGCGCGTACCCGAGACAATTCTGAAATGGCAAAGATCTGTGAGAATCTGGATTGAATGAAGATCTCAATGGCGTAGTCGAGCGTGCATCCAGGCTCGTGGGTCTGCGATTGCGCTCACGGCACGGGAGACGGCACCATTGCGGTGAGTGAAGCGCAGGTGCTTCCTCGGCGAAGTGCAGATCAGCAGCATGTGTAGGAACTGAGAAGGCAATGTGATGTACTGAGGCAGTGATGTGTCATTAATGCTTCTATGTAGCCCAAATGCTCACTCGAGCTTTGCGACAAAGGAAATGCAAAAGGGTATATTCGTATGAACAGCATGTGATGTGTCGCACCCCAAACGCCTGGTAATGCAATTTTGTCGCACTCTGCGACTCGACCATGCCCATGTGTAGCGCCGTATGCAGAATCTGACAGATGCCGTGATGGTGGAGTACAGCAGGTGAGTCTGTGTTGCCGACTCAGTCTAGAGAGTGGTTTCATGTGCCGTGTGGAACGCCGTTGAAAACCGATATGGTGAATGCTAGGTCTTCGTTTGCTGATTAGGGAATGACTGCTAGACAATGCTGTCGATGTAGCGGATGTTCGTAGATGATCATTTGCGGAAGACGCTCATGAAGCTCTTGCGTTTGGTCATTCCTGAAGTCATAGGCCTGTCGGCAGGAATAGGAGGCGGCGCTGGGTGCGCGGCAGACGCGGACCTCTTGCCGAACTTGGAGAGTATGGGTTCAGACTTCTTGTTGACGATCCTGCTGTCGTCAATCTTCTCGTTGACAGCTACTCCGGAATCGCGGGATGCGTCGTGAGAAACCTCAGTGGTGACGACTGGTCTTGCGCCATGGTCAGCCTTGGATAGACCACGAGACAGCTGCATGGTACTCTTTGCTTTGAAGACACCAGATCTGCGCGAGCTCTTGGTCATGGCACGCTTGATGTTGCTACCAGTCTCCTCGGCTTGCTGTCGCTCCAAGCGCTCAATTTCGCCGAGGATAGTCATGCCGTTCATGGCAAGGCTCTCTTCGGGGATGGGTACGAATTTGACTACGCCACGCTCCGGCGCAACGCCAATTGACTCAGCCATGAACGTCTGAATCAGGGCGGCATTGCGTTTGTTGGTCGTGGGTTGCAGTTGCACAGGCAGAGCGTTAATGGTGAGCATGTAGGTGGGCTCAAATGAACCACCGAGGAGCAGACACGCTGAGTGGTTGACCGTTATCATGATAGAGGCTTCTGGCCTTTGATAGCGCGTCGAGAGGTGGTGCGAGAGGTCGGTGACCAGGGTGTATTCGTCTTTGATCTACGCTGGGTTAGTGATTTGCCAAAAGAGTGGAGCTCGGCAGAATAACAACTTACGATAACGTTTGTCCGCAGCTCGGCTACAATGGGGGCATCCTTGGTCACACGGTCGCGAGCCGACGACGCCATGCCGTCCTTGTAGGAGAATTGATCCTCGTAGAACTGTGCACGCGAGCGCGAAGTCATGGGCCGCAGGGGACCTACTTCATCCGCGGCGGCACTCGGAGCGCGGTTCCGGGAGTCGTGCTCGATGTCCTGGACCGACTGGGGCGACGATGCAAAAGAGAACTGTGAGTGCGCGGGTGAGAGCTGTCCATTGGCCTTCTCCGGCGAGAGGAGGGTGGTGCCTGCCTGTTGGGGAAATGCATTGTTGCCGGAGTAGGTCGAGGTGGACGATGGGCGTGACATCTTGGCTTGGGTCGAGGTAGAGTTGTTGACTGAATGGGGCATGGCAGAGGAGAGAAAACGATGGGGAATTGAGGATATAAGAGTAACGACCAGGGTTGTCTGTCTGGTATGGGATTTGCCTAGATATGGATAAAGGCGTTGGTGCACATGCAAGAGCGCAGATCCCGGCGCGCTTCTCTATCTTGCAGTGTGAGACGAGGTCCGGAATGAGACGCGGTGGCGTTTGGTTATCAGCGGCCTGGGGGAAACGGAAACTGGGAGAGAGTCCGTGGGGAGTCCGTGTATCGATTGACGGTGTGGTGGAAGATGGTGCGGCAGGATGCAAGTGATGGGCGGTAGCAGTCCAGGGTTGAGGAATGGATGACGACTGAGCAAACACCCCGCAGTTGCAAAAGGAAGGCGCTGGTCGGAGAGATGCAGGAGATGGGCCCTGGGCAGAGCAGGCGAACCACTGTATGATATATTCCCATAGTCGCCGCATGCCAGTGCACTTGAGCACCAAGCAGCACCAAGCCTCAAGCATCTCGGGTAGAGCGACAGGGGTGCGGCCTCAAGTTGCAGCATCACCTGCACACGGGCCAGCCGCCCGCCATGCAGTTTTGGGCGCCTGCACACGATCGGACTGGGTATCTGACATGAGGCCTGGCTGAAGACGGCTGTGCGCTGCATCCTTATCTGGCGATGCGTCAAGTGTCGGCGACTCCAGCGAGCCCTCAGCTCTCAGGAAAGCCATGTTTGCTGCTCCAGGCTCGCCACCACCCGCACCTGCCAGCTGTGCCGACCGCGCTTTCCTCATCCCTCGCTGCGACTGCCAGTTGAAAATAGCATCGCCCACAAGGGAAAGGGCAACCCCGTCCCCCCTGGTCCAGGACGTTGGCCTCAATCTCAGCGACAACGCAACACCACTCTGGTCCACTCAATCGAGGTTTGACGCTGGCTCCTAGCCCGCGCACTAACCCCGTCGCCGGCCACTCCTCCTACCCCGCCAAACTCAGCCTAGCCTGGAGCCGCTCTTCTTGGATGCTTGCTCCGGAGTCTCGACCTCTGTTCGACGGCCGCGCCTCTCGTGCTATGTCTCTGGTCTGCCTGCACTCTTTCGTCAGGAGGTACGCGGGCGGGAAGAAGCAGCATCCGCTACTCTACCTGGAGCCGCCTTGCTCGCACAGCATCGGCGGTCACTGGCACATGTCGTGGCCACATTCCATCTCCGCAGTTCGGCGCGCTGCCGAGCAAAATCATACCAGACACCAACGCCGACATGGTCACTGATGTGCATATGCCTGCCAGATGCAGAAAGGCACGACACTGCACGCGTCACAACCCAATCACTGAGACAGCCACCGGCATTCATCCTTCAATCACTTCCACGCATCATGGGTACCCAAATAATTTGTGTGCAAAGGAGCGGGAGATAAACAGCTGATGCAGGTACTAGTTCTTGTTTGTCCCAGTCTCGACCCCAAAGCGACGGGACCTAGCAATCTCCACTTATATTCAATGGACCGTACCTCGATA